ACTCCAATATTTTAAAAACAAATTTAATTCCCGAACAAAAATTTCAACCCTCTTCCTAACTCGCCAGATACGTCTGCCTCGTTTAACAGACGATTAAGGTAATCCAAGCCTCTGGGGGAGTTGTACAAGACTGATGGAAGGTATACGGGGAAGGGGACTTCCGTATATCCCTTATCAAACAAACTTGGCTCGGAGAATCCATCAATTCTAATACTTCCTGGCGGGTATCAAGTTGTCTGCAGCGTGTTTATGAGGGGTTATCCGGGACGTTCATTTGTTTACGACAGCCTACCAGAATCTGAGTTTTTACCCTTATTTTTCTCTTGTACTGTTTTAAATTAATATTTATAACATAAACTTTTTCGACAACCCAGCAAAATTTGGATTTCACTAATGTTTGTAATTTAAATTGAGTCTGTAACTGATACTTATAACAAAACTTAAATTTCTTCACATCCCACCAGAGTCTGAATTTTATTAATCTCTATTCTTGATTTCCATCCACTTCTGTTAATGATATTTAAAACAACAATTTATTTTGTTTAGGACATCCCACTGAAACTACAATTCTTTTCTCGGACCATACAAAAATTAATCTGCCTTAGTTGATGTTAATAATGACTTGTTTGCCATGACTATTTTTGAGGGGCTCTATAATATTACATCAAAAATGATTTTTATTTTGGAGGAGTTAGTATGCTATTAAAGGTTGAGGATAGCAATATCCTACCAAACCTCCATAGTTACAACAAAAATCATACGATGGACGAGTTGTTATACAAATATCCCAGAACAACTACTCATTTTTCTACCGTTTTAAAATTTAAAAATATCTGACTGGTGGGTATTTGCGAGTGATTGTTTTTGTATTCTATTCTATTAAATCATAACATTTTTGGAGTTAGTTATTTTTTACTATTGAATACATTCTGACATGTTAAAGAGTGTGTGTAGCTATAAGAGTTTATAGTTCTCCCAAAAGGATCAGAACATTGTCAGTTTAGTAGTGAGAAAAGTCATTATCTATTAGTCACAACTATTTGTTTATCCATTAAATTTTTTTTACAATTGTTTTTTGTGGAAGGTGTATAGCTTGAAAAGTTCATTGATGAGATAACTGAAAATAAAAAGTTGCTATTATATTTTAAATACAACACTAATGTGCCTGCAACAAAATATTTCTACTTGTGAGAACTTTCTTCAAAAAAGTACCAGTTGGGAGATTCTTTGTTTAAATAAGTATCTTGATACTCTACCCTATGTAACTGGAGTCAATAAATTTCAGAAAACTGAACATTCAACACTTACAAAGTTGGGGAGTGAATTTAATTAAATCAAAGGGTTGATGGGAATAGGGTGGTGTGTAATAATTATCCACATTGAGAGGAGATCAAAGCATGGGATTATTGGTGAAACTCCCACCCCCCTTCTACCCTTAAACATTTCTCCGACCCTCTGTACCCCCCCCCCCTCCTTAGCTTCACGCTTCTCAAAGAGATAAGTATACTTGTGAATCGCAGGATTATCCCTACCTCCATTCAGTGTGATCCGTCATTCTTCAACCGGCAATATGTTTGATTAAAGTGGAGCGTATTTCGTATGACTTCTCTCTAAATCATTTAAAATCTCCTAGTCAGTTAGAAGTGTATAGTACTTTGGTTCTTTATAAATTGTCCGTTTCGCTATTAAGGTAAATTGTTTGTGAAGCAGTTGTGTTCAGTTGAACATGTTTGGTTTGTAAAAAATATTTTGTTTGTGGGGAAAGTTGAGTGATTGACTGTGGATGGATGGAAATTCTATTTCCATATTCAAGTTGTAACCAATTGTAGAGTTAAAATGGACAAAGTTGAACTAACAGTTACTTATATCTGTTTTACAAAAACTTTAACACCAATCTACTCTGAACAATTTCTTGTAAACTATAGCATATTATCGGTGGGGGTCCCAGGGGGGAGGCTGGGAGGTATATATCCCCCACCTGAAATATTTCATATTTTATTAGATAACATAAATACTATTAGCTTGAGCATATTTTTGAGCTCAAATACGTGTAAAAATAGGTTTTTAGGCTTTAAATTCCACATTTTTATGGGGGGCACCTGGACCCCCCTTTTTAATGAGCGATATTCTATACCCCTAGACCCCCGGTGGTCATCCCCCTCCCCGAAATGAAATCCTGGGACCGCCATTGCATATTATATACAGCATTTAAACTATGTCCATTTTGAATTGGTAAACTTCCCAAATGAGGTCCAAATATATGAAATATAAATCACCCCTTAGTATCTGGGAGTCAATGGTAGAACTTGTATTCCTCATTTGACTATCGACAGAGCTAGACATTCCATCCCCATGTTTAAGTTATTACCAGTTTTAATTAAACCATCAAAATGGACTATTTAAAGTTAGCCAATGGCAGATTGTGCTAATGTAAATTACAGATTTTTGTCGCAAATACAAACTTTTTTATTGAAAAACTTAATGTACCATGTTGCATCTTTCTTTGGAAAATTGAATTTTAGATCTGTGCACATAGCCCAGGAATTTTAGGGATTAAATGCCATTCGCCCTAACAAATTCGAACTACCTAGAAATTTTGCACAGCTGTTAAGTAAGCCATGTTCTTGAAAATGTCGGCCGATTTTTTTAAATGAATCCTTAATTGTCAACATTTTTAAAAATTACCAAGAGCTAAATAATATTCGCTACTGAAAACTGAACAATTGATCTATTTATATTTTATTTACTTGACAAACAGTAAGAAAAATAAACATTTTAATATTTTGATTAAATGTTATATGCCTCCTCATAACTTATTCTTGTTCAATTTCATTATTTAGCTCTTGGTAATTTTTGATAATGTTGACAATTAAGGAGTCATTAAAAAAATCGGCCACCATTTTTCATTTCTCTTTAATACTAATAAGGAAAAATTAACAATCGTGTCTAAAAATGAATTTTCATTTGCCTGCCTGGATTTTTATTAAAATAATACCTAAAAATGAAAGATAGAATCCCTATTTAAATAACTTTAAATTTAACAAGTACTAGGTTTACTGCTATTGGAAGGGTTATATAGTGTGTAATTATGTTAAATATCATTAGCTTAGTATAAAATAAATAAGTTTGCCAAGTTTGATAAAAATATATCCATAAATAAGCAAACTGCAACAATTTTCTTTTCCTTCATAAGAATAACATGGGAATTTTAAATTTAAAACTATTTTTATTATTTATATCAATAGCCATTAGAGATAGAGCAAACCTTGTAATATAAAAAATGTGTATTTTTAGGTGTTCTTTAACTTTTGTATTTACAAAAATTCTCTAATACCAATAGTTTGGGAAATATTGTCAAAAAAGTGAAAATTGGCCGCCATTTTCCAAGATGGCGGCTGAAGCACAGCAGGGATTTCCGGGGACTTTTGACATTTTCAAGAACATGGCTTACTTAACAGCTGTGCAAAATTTCTAGGTAGTTCGAATTTGTTAGGTCGATTTTCCTATTCTTCCACTAACATCTGTGATTTGCTCACTCAACCTCAACAAGGTTCTTTTTAAATAAAAATTTGGTAACTCAGCTGATCCATATAGATGGAATATCTACTTCAGTATACAAAATACAAGGTACCTTTTAATTTTGAAAATTCAAGTATTTCCTTACTCTAGTTTCAGTAAAACCCTACTCATTTTCTACCCAAAAGATAAAAATTAATTATTAGGCTACTTGAGATTGTTCTAACAATAGTGTCTAATTTCTATAAAAAAATAGAGCCCTAAGATTTGATTTAATGTCACTTGTTGACCTGTCTTGCAAGTTTGGTTGCATTTGCAGATATGCAAATAGTAGGACAAGTAGGTCAAGTAGTAAAGTTCAGTGGGTTGACTACTGACTAGTAATCGGTTACTTGTAGTTGTAGCGAGATAGCGAAATACTGATCCTGACCCGACAAGCTTCACTTTAGTTATTGGTTCCAATTCCCAGGGTATCAAAGTGAGGAGTGGTCTGGATGAATTCATTCTGTCTTCTCTTGAATAATCTCATCACTCCCCAACTAACTATTGGGTCTCTCCTGTGGTTATTTCGTGTTGAAATATATTATTATAGAATAATGCTATTTGTTGTTTAAAGCTGTTTAGTTTGGAAAATGAGGCTAATATAAGCAATTTAATTACCATCATTGTTGTGTATCAGTATTGTGTATTAATACCTTACCAATTGAGATTATCTATGTGTTATGTAAAGTGTATTTGTTTATTTACTTTGTGTTAGTTTTTTATTCACAACACTTTTTTTAGCTTTTTATTTAACTATTCAAAAAATGAAATTATGTAATTATAACAATAGCTTGTCCTCTGGTGTTAAGACGGAATAAATATTACCAAACATGTATACCAACATTTGAGAAATTATTTTGGAAGAAAATAAAAGGGGTGAACTGATTGCTTAACATTCAATTGATTTTTACAGCATTTTATTGGTTGCAAAACTCTGAATAAGTGGTTAAATGATGAGAAATGTTTAAATTAAATTATTTAAGTTTTTCATTAATCTATTACCAAAGATGCTTCCAAACCCAGTAGAAAATATAGCGGAGGGAGGGGCCGAAGCCCCAAAAAAATTTTGTTAGAAAAAACTGTATGTACATAAAGATACTTAAACTTTTAAGCAATATTTAGCAATATTTAAAGATTGCTTATTTGTAAGTATATGTTATTACAATAAACAAAAACTCAAAATGTCTAAAATTGTAGCCTACATCTTAATCAATAATTGTTGCGATCATGTAATAAGCATAGGGGTGTGACTGAAAATATTTAAAAATCCTACGCAATGGCAAAAGAAACTATCCCGCATCTGTTCTAACACAAATTCAACTACAGGTAACAAGAACTAGGATTGCATCGACCCCCCCCCACAAAAATTTTAAGTAATTCACTAGCATTAGACCGCCAACCATAATAATAGTAAATTATAGGATATAGGAGAAAAAAGTCTATTTTGATTTTTTGATTTATTTACAAAAAAAAGGGAAAAATTTACATGACATGGCCGAGTTTTTTAGCCTCTTGGTAGCACTCGTCATACAGTTCCTTGTATTTGGAATGTTCCCTGACCAAGGCCATGAGGCAACTGTTCTGAAAGCCGACAGCATGAGCCAAATCTTGTCTGCTGGCGATGTACACGTAAGGGATGTTCTTCTCTTCACACACGGCAGGCATGTGACACATCACATCCACGGGTGTCACGTCACCAGCGAAGATTACCAGACTGTCAACAAAAATCTATACTATAGCTTTAAATATTGATACGACTAGACATTCCATCCCATGTTAAAGTTGACGCCAGTTTTTAAATTAAAATCGTCATAACTTCATTTCTGTTGAATACAAGAACTTTTTTAACCATGTCAAACTGGTGGACCGACTTATTGTGAGCTATAGCAACTGTTATGACCCATCAACTATGTCAGCAACAAAATATAAGGTAAAAGATAAAACTATAGCCATTAGGCCTAGCGCATTCTGTGACTGGCTCACACAACTATAATCTTTTTCCATAAAAAATTTGAGATATCTGATCCAAATAGATTCGATGTCTACTTCAGTATCCAATATTCAATGAATATAGGCTACCGATTAGTACGTAGCCTAATATAGATGTTATGTAACCCTTTATTATAAGATTATCTTAGCACTTACAATAAAGGGTCTCACAAGATCTGTTGGTGAATATTACAGTGAAAATTGTAATGAATTTCAGTGAAGACAATGAATTTCTTATCATTTTGAATGCAATAATTATTAAGAACCCATTGTGATTCCATTAAAACATTTTTACAATCAACTAAGAACTATAATAAAATTGTTTACTTTTATAAGTAATAAATAACATAGAAAAAAAATTTTGTTTTGTCTTCCCGCAGCTGATTTTGGGTGATGTCTGGTTTCCATGAAAACACAACCTTGTTTGTTAGCAAAAATGAATGAGTAAATACACACAACAAGAAGCAAGAACTGTATAAACATTATAAAGGTAAGAAGAAACTAACAGGGGGAAAACAATAATAAATAAAATAACTAGTGACCCTGCGTAGCAATGACACGAGCGGCACTCGTAAGTTGGCCGCCGGGCCTGCAGCGGCCGTACGAGTAACGCTCGTAAGTCGGGACCAATGGTTAACCAATGGGTTAACACATCCACTTGATGCAAAGTATTTAGAAAGAATATGCTCAATTTTAGGAAGATGCTGGTGTTTAAAGAATGATGTCACCGCTGATACTCTTTTATCAACTCCATACAAAAAAGGTCCCATTTAATTATCTAGGCCTATATAGCTTACTTAATACAGTAGGTTTTTCCCTGTCAATGAATTGAATTGAATTGAATTGAAAATAACTTTATTCATGAATCATACAAGTATGTACATTGAATGGCGTCAAAATTCTTAAACTACTTAAACTTACAACATAATATCAGCTGTACAGTTCATCAAAATTATACAGTACTTTTTGTGTTAAGTATATTTTAAGCTGGGATTTAAATTTTTTACAATCATCAATTTTCCTCAACCCCTCTGGAAGCCCTTCCAAAAATTTTCTTCCAGCACATGACGGTTTTTTGTTATAAAATTCCAATCTATGGGCACCAACAGCAATTTTGTTTCTATGCCGGGTGCCATATTCGTGATTATCCCCTAGTTTAGGTAACATACTTTCAGAAAAAAGATTTTTAGTTAAAGAACGGTATGGAAAACATAAATGCCGTACACAGTCATTATACCCATGGCTAAGAAATGATCACGTACGGAAACATCCCAGTTTAAATTTAACATTAGTCTTATTGCTCTTTTCTGCAAAATTAAAATTCTGTCAAAATTTTTCTTTGATGTTCCACCATAAACACTTATGCCAAATGATATTGCGGATTCAATGAAAGCAAAATAAAGCTTTTTCAAAATATCTGCTGAACAAAATTTAGACATTCTATAAATTGCATAAATTCCAGATGTGATTTTGATGAAAACATGGTCAACATGGGAGTTCCATGAAAGATTTTCATCAACTACTAAGCCCAAAAATTTAGTTGTAGTAACTTGATTAAGATTAGATTTTTTTAAATTAATCACTGGATCAATTGGATTTTTTTGTTTACCTGTTGAAAATACCATAAAGTTGGTTTTACTGGAATTTAAAAATAATTGATGATAGTTTAAGAATCACATTCCATTTTCACAGATCCAGTAATGCTGACTGTCTTTAAAACAGTTAAAATGTGAATTGTAATTTAACAGCTGTTCCTTCAGTTGAATGTTAAACACAGTCAAATTGTAAAAAAGAGGCTAAACAGTGTATGAACACATATTTTAAATAGGCAACTTTTTTGACAACTAACTGTAGCCTGATTAAGGTAGGTTAGTCACTCATTAGTGTAGATATAAATTCAACAAATTTTAAATTAGTAGTTCGATTAACCTAATAACGCTGTTCTAAACAAACATAATCTTCAAAAGGTAAATGGGTACCGGTATTGCTGTAGATTGATTTTTTGCCTTGGTAACAACCTTTGGACCCTATGAAACAGTGCAATTTGCACAGGGGATACGGGTCCCCTCAGTTAACTTTATAAAACTAGGAGCGATTGGCAAACAACAATATGCATAAAACTTTCTTTAGTCTTATGTTTAATCCATCCTATTGGTATGAAGCACTTTGAAACAAAGGAAACATACAGCCAAGTGTAAGGGCTGGCCTGGCATCCTTATATATAATACGTTAAGGTGATTTCTATGAAACACTACTCCTCCGTTAATAATTGACGGATTTTTACAAACGATATGTCAAGATTAAGTATTTTTTGTGTAGACGCCCCCTTTCACCAATTTCTGCAATAAAAGTCCTCGGGATTTTCCCCACAGGCCATCAAAATCCCAATGCATTTCTTATGAAGAAAAGATTATGTTTACTTAAACGGACGAATAATTTATAATACAACTGTTCGTAGTAAATACATGATACAAACAAGAGCGTTTGTTTTCAGTTTGGATAACTGGAGTGGAGTGAGCGTTCGTTTTCAGAGTGAGTTCAGTTTGTTTATAGTTTTGATAACTGGTGTGGAGTGATTGATTATTTATCTTTGAGTTGACTCTTAAAAATCATTCAAAAATTATGACTGTTATTTGTTTTGAAATAATGCCTGCAACATTTTACAATTGCTCGAATTCGAGCAACAGGTGCACTAGTATTTTTAGAATAGTCGAGTCTGGTGAAAGAGGCTGTCCCAATTTACAACACTAGGGCACACAACATGCTGCACAAAAACACAAAATTTATGGTGCTTAGATCATGTGATAGGGTCATACAACACGGAAGGTGGGTTAACTGAAAATCAGATAACTGAGACTCTACTAGGCAGAATATCAAACCCTAAAATACTTACACAGTTTCACCCTTCTTCAGTTCATTCTTCCTTATCCATCTTTGAGCATCCTTCAAACCGAGTATAAGAAGTGTCTTGTCGTTCTGACTTTTAACTGAAACAAAAAAATGAATGAATTAGCCTAGTTCATACGGTATTTTGATGTTATTGAAACGGTAATTCCACTGACCGATTTCTTGCCTTAACAGGCTTACTCTGGAGTTTATAGTTAAAAAAATCTTGGGAGAAAAAATATATCAAAAACATATGATTCTACACTAACCTTAAAATGTAAGAAAATGTAGGTAGGTAAATACAAAATGATTGAAAACAAAAGTTTTATTTTTTTACAATGACAACTTAGCAGAAGTGTTTTGTAATCTACAAAAAAAAAATTAACTAAAACAGGAAAAATGATCTGCTGTGGTCCTGTGAGGCTGTGGTCTCGGAATATATATTTTGCTTCTGTTGTGTGCATTAAAGCTAGATGCAAATCTCCTAATAGGTCAATATTTGAGATGACATGTAGACTACAAGGCAGACGGATAACGGTATGAACTTTTTGCCTTCTGAAGATTGGTTTGCAACGTTCGGAATGGAGCACTTGATTTTATGGTTCTCAAGACAGATTCATGAAACCACAAGCTACCGTAGGCCTATATATTACAGCCCAATATCAGGAAACTAAGTTACACTTACGTTAGGCCTTAACTTGATTTATTTTCTACATTGGTGAGTATCTCCTCTCAACTTGTAGCCTCAAAATAAGTTTTTTGTTGGTTTTACTTAACCTGATCAATTGCAGAGAGTGTTTTTAACCCATTGGCGCCGACTTACGAGCGTTACTCGTACGGCCGCTGCAGGCCCGGAGGCCGACTTACGAGAGCCGCTCGTGTCACCGCTAGGCAGCGCCATTTTTTATTTAGTTATTATTATTTTTCGCCCTTTTTGTTTCTTCTTACTATTATAATGTTTATAAATATCTTGCTTCTTGATTTGCGTATTTACTCATTTATTTTAGCGAATAACAAACAATTTTGTGTTGCCATGGAAACCACATATCACCAAAAATCAGCTGCGGTAAGGTAAACAAACAATTTTTTAAATATGTTATTACTCATAAAAGTACACAACTTTTGATTTTTCTACGTAGGGAATCGATCGACCTTTATAATAGTAGTGTTATTTGGTGTCTGGATTAATGTTGGAATTTGTATATCAAGTTTACTTTCAAAATTATTGTTCTGAAAATTTTTATTTTTATAATCTTTATATATATATATTTTTTTAGTTTAGAACTTTGACTATCCAATTAACACTTTTCTGTAGAAAATTTTACTGTGAACAAAATGGTGAAAGAATTATTAATTTATTACCTAAGGTTTTCTTTCTATAACAGTTAAGAGTAAAAGTCTACAAATTCGGTAAAATTGATTGCCGCCAGAGGGTGCTGCATGTAGCGGATTAATTCCTTCCCCAATGGGTTAATAGTCATTAGGTAGGCCTAGGCCTAGGTTAAACTTACAAGGGAGTCATAGGCTACTGTATAAAACTTTAAGGGCTTGTTCTAAGGCTGTGACTAGGATGTCTTTTTAATGCAATCTCAGGATTCATATGAAGCAAATCCAGCTTAAGAGATCAACATCCAGGCCTAGACTAGCGATGAGCATCGATAGTTGATGTTTTCTAAACACGGATATTCAATGTTTTTTACATCAGTGGAAGATTACCGATGTTTTTGTTACACCGATGTTTTCGGTACCTAGGTAAAGTATTTAAATATATAAATGTTTTTCATTTAACTGTGTTTTATTAGCCTCCTAGTTTGATTAAAATTTAAATGTTAGTCTTAATGCTAGCAGTACACTATCGCCAAATAGGCGAGCTATGGTGAGCACGATAGTGTACACGGTCTGCTCTTGTACTCGGGATATTTTGCCTCACCATGATTTGTGCTCGCCTGGGCTCTGTTTTTGTGGTTTTTTTTTTTATCGAGTCAGGACCGTATTTACCTAACGGCGGACACGGCGGTTGCCGGAGGCCTCAGCCTAGGAGGATGCCTAACTTGGTACCCCAAATATTTTTTCTTGATAGGCTAAATTTATTCCACCATTAATCTTTTACACCTTAATTGCGGGAGCTGTTGATGAAATCTGAGGGCCCACAAAAAATTTTTGCTATTTCGCTGCTAGCGTAGGAGTTGTCAATATATTCATCCGTCATCGCGGAAGAAGTCCAAGATTGTAGGCTATCGCAACCGCGGGAGACAATCATAATGTCTACACAGCTACGGAAAATGAACTTGATTTTGCCACGATCGTGCAAGACGACGATCAGGTTTTCAAAACCACGAGAGACGATGACGTTTACACGGCCGCAGAAGATGTTCATATTTTAGCCGCTATCGCAAAAGACGACGATCACATTTTCGAAACCCACAGGAGACGATGATGACGTTTACACAGCCGCAGGAGATGTTCATAATTTAGCGGCTATCGCGAAAGACGACGACTCCGCTTTCAAAACTGCAGGAGACAATGATGATGCCTTCACAATGGCGCAAGATGTTCACCATCACTCCGTGGCCACATGAGTCGTTCATGATTTTGACGTGATCAGAAGAGACTATGATGACGTCTAAGTGCCCGGGCAAGATTTTCACCATATCTCCGTGGCCACTAGTCGTTCATGATTCCGCCCTGATCAGAGGAGACTAAGATGATGTCTCAGCGCCCGCGCAAGATGTTCACAATTTCAACATGGCCACATGAGTCCTTCATGATTCCGACGTGATCAGAGGAGACTAAGATGACGTCTCAGCACTCGCGCAAGATGTTCACCATTTCTCCGCGGCCACATGAGTCGTTCATGATTTTGATGTGATCAGAGGAGACTAAGATGGCGTCTCAGCACTCACGCTTAAGATGTTCGGCGTTTACCCGAGGCCACATAAGTCGTTTATGATTCCGACGTGATTGGAGGGGACTGAGATGAAACATGTCATCGCTCACGCAAGAAATTAATAGGGCTGCACTTTACTTTATGTCCTACACTCGTTTGAATAAAAATATCGATCGATATATCGTTTGGTTAGTTAGGTTAGGTTAACCTAACCAAACGATATATACAATGAAATAATCGATATTTTCATTTGGTTGTTTGTAGGACCTAAAGTAAAGTGTGGCCATTAATAGACTTATTTATTAGCTAGTCTCCTAGATGTTTTTTTTTTCAATCAGATTGTTGGAAACAAAAGGTCAATTCATCGAGTTGTAGCTAGCAATACCACGTAAATTTCTAAACCCTTAGGTTCCAACCTTTACAGAGCAGTGCATCCTATTATTTTATTAGGCATTTTATTGGTAGAAGGATATCATTGTAGCCTACGTAGGTACTTTTGATATGGAATGTAAAAATATCGCTGGACTAGCCTTAACTTAGCTTAAAACTTAGACAAGAGTAGAACATGATCGATACCTACGGTAACTTATCTTTAACCCTAACCTAAATGCTAGACTACCTAAAATTCAGTTTTTAGCCCATTCATAACAACATTTCAGTGGCAGCCATCTTCTTTTCTAGCATAATATATTTGGCCCTACCTAATCCCGATATTTCGTTTTGTGAATGTGAATAAGAAACTGAAAATCTAGAATGTCTCTAACAGCATAGACTAACCAACGCAAGGGAGTGTGTTTAATTAATCACAGAGGATACGCGTCCGGTAACCGAACGTGGATTAGGTGTCCGGCAGTGACATCACTGGGTTGTGGGGGCCCGGAACACCATTACCACATCGGTACGATTTACAGCAGCCAGTTCTTGGTGTAGTGGATAGAGTACTCGGCTGTAAAGATTAGGCGCCTAATCCATGTCCGGATACCAGAGTGTATCCTCTTAAATAATACCAAACATAGCCTAGTCTATTAGGCTAATTAGCTGAGGCAGTAGGCTTACAAGACAAAAATATGAAAAAACACTGATTGGCATGGATGATTAGGCCTATAACTTAACTTAGCCCCTAGAACAACAATGTTTTTGCGACGATGTTATTGGTACATCAATGGTATACATTTTCTGATAAGATCAACAGTGAACATTGATGGTTGACCTATCGATGCTCATCCCTAGCCTAGGCCTAAACTTAGTGAGGCACAAATGACAGGTAAGTTAAAAGATACATACAAAATAGGCCTAGCCTAACATTATAAACACTGATGTATAACATGTCATTCTGTTGAAACTTAAGATTGTTCGTACCTGATCTAAGCAACTTCAGAAGTTTTTTGTTGAACTTTTTAGAAGCCAAAGGTTGAGCTATTGCACTAACAAACTTCACTTTATCTTCGTATTTCGATTTCTCGCTCTTCTCATTTTCTTGGTCTCCATTAGCCTGACCATCAACCTCCATATCCTCTTCGGTCATTTTCCTACCCATTGTTGAGATAGTAAAAGTATACTTTATTCACAAAAACACTGAAGTATCCTCTAAAGTTTGGCTAACCTCAAATTATAACCAAACAAAACAGAATCAGACACAATAGAAACACATGTGGCCGTGGTGTTGGTCCAGGAAATCGATGGGATGGAACCATGGAACGAGAACGCTGGAATTGGACTGTATTGGAGTGAGAATGACTGGGCGGATAAGAAATTTCCATAGAGGAAAAACCCATATTACTTAACATTTAATACCAGACGCAGAGTATAATACAAATTAATGTATATTTTATTTTTAGCATGTTGAGATGAGTCAGTTAATTTTCTTGTTCTAACATTTCTGACATTTCCATAGATTAAACATATTCCCTGTGTTGGTTAGTCTATTGTATTTCTCAGATAAATATTCTAATGGATGGCATTTTTTAGAAAGAGTGCAACACCAGAATTCATGGGACTTTTCAATTTCTGCCAAAGGGTCAGACATGCTGTAATTTTCCTGAGTAGGGATTAAGAACAATGCAATTAATATTGTAATATTATATGGAAACATGTCACTGAGCCATCATTATACAAGAATCTTATATATTAAAAAAATTTGGTTTTTCTTTTCCGAGTTCGTTTGGCTCTTCTACCCGACCGATTTTCATGATTGAGGTCTCAAATTGAAGGTATTCACGCACAGATTTGCCATCAAGCATTGGCATATAACTATCTATAGTATTACTCGGCTTATACGTAAACGAAATTTGCTCCCCATGTATTTCTTATGGGAGTTAAATTTGGTTTTTCTTTGCCGAGTTCGTTTGGCTCTTCTACCCGACCGATTTTCATGATTGAGGTCTCAAATTGAAGATATTCACGCACAGATTTGCCATCAAGCATCGGAATATATTTATCTATAATCCCACTCGGCTTATACGTAAACGAAATTTGCTCCCCATGTATTTCTTATGGGAGTTAAATTTGGCTTTTCTTTGCCGAGTTCGTTTGGCTCTTCTACCCGACCGATTTTCATGATTGAGGTCTCAAATTGAAGATATTCACGCACAGATTTGCCATCAAGCATCGGAATATATTTATCTATAATCCCACTCGGCTTATACGTAAACGAAATTTGCTCCCCATGTATTTCTTATGGGAGTTAAATTTGGTTTTTCTTTGCCGAGTTCGTTTGGCTCTTCTACCAGACCGATTTTCATGATTGAGGTCTCAAATTGAAGGTATGCACGCACAGATTTGCCATCAAGCATCGGAATATATTTATCTATAATCCCACTCGGCTTATTAGTAAACTAAATTTGCTCCCCATGTATTTCTTATGGGAGTTAAGTTTGGCTTTTCTTTGCCGAGTTCTTTAGGCTCTTCTACACGACCGATTTTAATGATTGAGGTCTCAAATTGAAGGTATGCACGCACAGATTTGCCATCAAGCATTGGCATATATTTATCTATAATCCCACTCGGTGTATACGCAAATGAAATTTGCTCCCCATGTATTTCTTATGGAAGTTAAATTTGGGTTTTCTTTCCGAGTTCGTTTGCCTCTTCTGCCCGACCGATTTTGATGATTGAGGTCTCAAATTGAATGTATGCACGCACAGATTTGCCATATAGCATTGGCATATATTTATCTATTACCCCACTCGGTGTATACACAAACGAAATTCGCTTCCCGTGTTTTTCTTATGGAAGTTAAATTGGCTTTACTTTGCCGGGTTCGTTTGGCTTTTCTACCCGACCGATTTTCATGATTGAGGTCTCGAATTGAAGGTATGCACTCACAAATTTGCCATCAATCATCTACAAATATTTATCTACAGTATTACACGACTAGAACACATAATTTGATTTATTTTATGATTCTTACTTCAATTTGAGATGTACCTTTACCAGTTTTAAATTTATAATCCTATATATTTTAGTCTAAGAACCTTCAGTTAAATACTGGCTTTCATTTAAGCTATTAGTTATTCAAATTGGACGAGTTTCAAGCAAACGCAAGGTGAAAAACTAATATAAAATAGTATTTTTCATAAGGGTTTAATATGGTTAAAAATCAATAGCTCCAGTATTGTTCATGTATTTCTATATGTTTTAGACACAAAATAATCAGTAAATTATAATATTTAATTTGAGATATTGATCGTTTGAATTAGTTAAGCTCAAGATACTGTATTACTCAATCAAAAATTATAAATTTGATTATTTCTCGGATATAATAATTATTTTAACGCTGCGGAGCAGCATGGGTCCTCTAGTGTAAATGAATACATATGTTCAGAATTTTTCGAAACAATTAGCCTAAAATGGAAATTAATATTAAACTTTAGTGTCATTATGAAATAATCAAATGACACAAATAATAGTCAAATTATGAAATAATTTGTCTTTTTCATAAGATCAAGAAAATTGTGCCTAAGGACAAAAATTGCAAAAAAAAGTATTGGCGTTCCAAGATTGAGTGTACAGTACAAGCACGGCCATGGTACGGATCATTCTACGCGGACTCGGCTGTTGAAAATATTCTGACTTCATATACTTACTTACTTCATACTTTTCTCCTATCTTCATCGTTGACCAGTAATACTGGATAGATGGCGTCAATACTATTACTAAAAAAACATATATTTACAGAAAAAAACTTGACAAATTAAATTATATAACATATTTGGATCTTGATTGAATTTTGGTGGCAGGTCACTTTATTGAAGAGTAGTCAGCTTCTGTAGTCCTGAGTCGGCTTCTAGATACGCATTGCGCATTGTAGAAGGGGTTGTTCCTAAGCCAAGTCCCAATTTTATTTTCAAACGTTCTTGATGGTTCATCTAGTTCTTAGATGGCAGCCGGGAGTAAGTTGAAAAATTTCATAGCCAGGATGGGGTAGCAGTCTTATTTCTTTTTAGTAAGTCTACAGAATGGTATGTCAATGTGTTTTTTCCTTCTGGTATTATAACTATGTTGGTCTGCTCGTATTGATAGCAATGATAGCGTTTGTAGATTTTGATGAATGTGGAGAAGACTGACGAAAATATAGTGGTTGAAGATTGTGATAGTGAATATACCCAATTTCTTGAATATGGGCTTGCAGGGTTCTGTTCTTCATTGCTGGCGGAGTCCATTATATTCGAAGAGCTCTCTTCTGTAGGACTTACTTACTTGTAATACTTGTAGTTTCCGTCCGTAGTCTAGGGCAGGAATTGGACAGGTCAATAGGTTAAGGTCTAATAATAATAAAAAATCATTTACTGTATAGTAAGAAAATCACATCCTAGGCCAAAGGGCTCTGTTTTGGGAAATTTAGCATTTCTTCCACATCATAAAAACCATTTTTTGTCAGGAAAGATTTGATTTCTGTTTTGAATTTTGAGATTTTTTTAATGTTTTGAAGTTGTTTTGGCAGTGCCTAAAAAATTTTTAAACCGGAATAATGAGGTTTTTGTTCAAACAATTTTAATCTGTGTTGTAGAGCATGGATTCCTTTGTTTCTAGTGTTGTATTTGTGATCTATGAAATGAGGTTGAATGTTTTGTGATTTTATGTATACTACTGCTTCGTAGATGAATATGCAAGGGACAGTCAAGAGTCCAAGCTGGATGAATACATCTCTGCAGCTGGCATCTGGTGGCATGCCTAGGATGGTCCTTATTGCTTTTTATGCCAGACAAAAACTGTTTCCAAATTCTTTTTGGTGGAAGAACCCCACAAAATGATAGAATATGAAATGTACTGCTCGAACAGTCCGTGATAGACGAGCCTGGACAGAGCATCGCTGTCGTATGACCTCATCCTACGTAGAATGAATAGTCCTCGAGCAAGCGACCTCTCTAATGTGCTCGCCCCACCCGAGTCTATCATCCAGCCTCACCCCTAAGAAGTCAGCCGTTTTTGATTGTTCAATTTGATTCTGTCCTATAAATAGGTTCGGAGTCCTATTATTTTTGGAATTTTGCTTTTGTGCTGTTTGAAAACACAAATAGTTCGTTTTTTGAGAATTTAAACTGAGTTTGTTTGCTTCAAAAAATTTAGAGAGATCTGAAATTTTTTCATTTGCTTCGCCCTCCAGAGTCTCAACATCCTTACCCTTTATGACCAATGTTGTGTCATCGGCAAAGAGGTAGTTATCAGACTCTGGAATTGCGTTGGTGATGTTATTAATGTAAACCAAGAATAGGAGAGGTCCGAAACAACTTTTTCGATTAATTTTGAGACTGACGGAAGAAGTGAGACTAGACGATAGTTGCCCGGATCGGTTCTGTCCGCCTTTTTGAAAAGAGGTTTGACTTTATAGCTACTTTGCAGTTTTCAGGGAAAAATCCAGTTTTTAAGGAAAAATTTACTATGTGAGTCAACGGCAGTAAAATCTCATATTTGCAAAATTTCAGTGTGTGCATGCTGATTTCATCGATTCCGCTAGATTTTTTAGATTCCATTTTGGAGAGGATATCAAGTTTTTGAGGTGTGATCTCAAAAAAATTGGTCATTTTGCAGACTGTATTATCTTTGCTAGGAAAACCTGAGAATTGGAAGCCTAGGTGGTTGCCATTTACAAGGTTTGATACGTTTGCAAAATATGTGTTAAATGTTTCAGTGACTTGGCAAGGATCCTCTATGGTTCTGTCATTTATTTTCAAGCTTATATTGGTGCTATTATCTTTTTTTGTGTTCTTAAGCTGTTAATCACATTCCAAGAGGCGTTTGATTAATTTTTTGCTGTGGTCTCTTGAGCCCAATTTAACTTTCCTATTTGGATTTTTTCCCATAATTGTCTTTGAGTTCTATATATTTCTTCTTATCATGGGCTGATTTTGTAAGCTTCCATATTGAGTATTGCTGGAACATATCCTCCTTCGACTTTTGAATGTCCGCTGTCATCCACTTAGACCTTTTCATATTTCCTGTTTTTATTTTATTTTTAACTAGTGGACAGCTAATATCAAAGTGATACTTTAACGTGTCAATAAAGCTATTATACATCTCGTTGACATCATTTTGCCAAGTACACAGAATCCCAGTTTTCATATTTAAGTCTAAATTTTAATTCTCTAAGATTTTCTGTCGTTATGTTTCTCTTTTCTATCGTTGTTTGATTTGAATAGTGTCTATTAGAATAATCTGAA